GGACCTTGGAGTTTACGGAATCAAATGACAAAAACTTATACCTAGGTATTTTGAAGTGAAATAATGCTGAAATATTGATCTGAGTGTGCCTCGTACGAAATCTAGAGGACAGAATTGAATATAATCTTTAAATTTTATATACACATATATATTTGATGATCTTTCAAGTTGGATTTCAAAACTATAACCAAGGAATGACTTTGGGACATTTCACAGGCCCTGAAATGTTTTCAAAAGTTTATTCTCTCTTTTTAAAGGATTTTTTAATTCAACCAAATTTAATGACTTTGACTTGAAATACATGACCTTGCGGCACTATCAGTCAACATCCAAGAAGTAACCCTGTAGGTTACTTGGTGTAAAAGAAAAAGATTTTTCTTTTTTAAATTGAAATTCTCCAAGTGTAACCCAGCTGTGAGAGGACGAGGATACTGATTGGAAATTACTCTGCAAGAAAATAATAGAAAGAGGTTTTTCCTTCAAACATCTGGAGGACTGTAATTAAATGTACTAGGTTTAACATAGAAAGGTAAATAATTTGGGTTTTTGCCTTCCTGAATGTAGCTAGTGTAAAGTTACTGAAAGACTAATTGAAGAAATTTAATTAATGTCATTTCCAGTTTAAAATTGAATTGCCATGGCCTAGAGAAAAGAATATCCTTACATGATATTATTCTACAATGTCATTAATAATTTTTGATATTTTACAACAGCATATTGTACATTTATCCCAAACAAACAAACAAACTAATTCTCTGAATGTTTGGCAGCAATTTAATAAGGACATGAAAGGATTTAATCCCTTCCACTGTGTGGAAGCCCCCCTGGGAAGGCACTTGAGCATTCTGTATTGACCTCTCTTGCCCTTTTTGCCAAGGGGGTCCCGCTTCCAATTGCCCTCAGCTGTTGCCTGAGCTCTCTGTTCATGCTGAGGTTGAAGCCTCATAGTTGCTAGTACCATAGATCTGTCTCTTGCCCAATGGCTTGAGCTGGGCCCTCTCTGAAGAAGAAACTTGGGTTCCCCATGATCAATGCCGGGGCCCCGCCAGCAGGGGAGGGGATCCCAAGGCAGTTACTAGGCGTGGAGGCCATGGGTACATAGGCTACCAAGGAGACAGAACTAAACCTCACATCACCCTGCTTGGCCCTGGAGGATGGCTGGTTAGCCAAAGACAGGTAAGATTCCTCAGGGAGGAAGGACTTAAGACAGGCACAGTCACAGAGGGGCCTCAGGAGAGAACTTGGGGGCCAACAGAGGTGGGACACAGATCCTCACCCTCCCAATTATGCAGGGGCTTGAACACTCGCCCCTTCTGAGGGAGGTCTTCTGCCCCCATGGCTGCTTCTCAATTCCCATGCCCAGCTCAGATCAGGACCCAGTTAACAGAAAGAGACTTGGGTCCAGCTGAGATCGGTACCCCGATAGCAGAGACTTGGTTAACAGCAGCTACCCTATATCTAAATCCAGCCTAACACCAGGAGTGCTCAGGGCCTTCTCAAGGATGCAAAATAATCCTTTCCATTAACATTTACAGTGTAAAATAAGATTGTTATTAGAGTATTAAATTTGACAGTAAAATAGTAGTCAAGTTTTCATATTAATTAAAATTGGCTCAAGAAGTATTAACCAAAATTTTCATTTCATAGAAAAATTGCTTAACATGCAATGAACCTAAAGCAGTCATATTTTTGTACAAAAAATTAAAATTTAAAGTTATCTAGACTGCATTATAAATTTTCCAAAAGCCTCCTAATAATTAAATCAAAAAAGGGTGGATAGTGGAAAAATACCATGTAAGAAAAAATAACCTGTAACTAATTTACATCTAGAAAATTTTTTCATTTGTAATGCTAACAGCAAGACACCCATGAAAAACATAAGTGGTGTCAAAATAAGCCAAAGGCAAAAATAAATAGGACCCCAAGTAAAGTTTCCTTTATTATGCACAAGCTATTTCCTCATTTAACCCTCTCCGGCTGCAAGCATCTCATATGGGCATGCAAAACCTGTGGCCCCCTATTGCATTTAGGCCCCCTCCAGACACAAGGGGTAAACCCTGGGGGCTCCAACCCAATGCCTTATGGCAAGCAGATGTGACCCATATTCCCAGCTTCGGTAGGCTCAAATATGTACATGTAATCATTGACACTTGCTCTGGGGCCACGT